ACTTCGGCTACATCCTTTTGTCATTGAGCGGTCAAAGCTATCCAAGGCATTAGGATGGAGGGAGGTGTACCACAGCATCATGAGGTTTCTGGGCAGCTTCCAATTCCTTTCCTAACATCATATTTGCTTTTTTGACAGCAATTTAGCACTGAGACTATTTTTTTTCAGGGAATTATCCACAGTGCTTCCAACATCTTTTCCTGGGTGATGATACTTAATGTAGATCTTACACTTGTGAATATGAAGCCTGGGTGTATTTTTTTGCTCTGTGTGCCTTGCCTTCCATTTATCAGCAGGAGTTTCATCTGCCAGTCTCTATAAATGAACGCTGTGAACCATCATGACCAATTTGCCAGTTTTAAGACACGTCTTCATTATTTTCAAATACAAATCCAAGGGCTCACCATTTTTACCTTTGCAGTATAAAAAAGACCAAGAAATGAAGTCTTTTGGATCTCTGTGTGTTGTAAAGAATAGGAATAAGGTCCTGTTCCAAAGGCAAAATTGTGGTGCCAAGTCCTGAAGGACAAAATAGATATTCTTGACTGCATCTTAATTTACAGAGGCTTTCAGCACTGACTGTTAAAGTAGTAATGAAGACATTAAGTGAATGTCAGAAACACCAGTGATTAAACAGCAACAGAGTAGGCAGCAGGTAATTAAGCAATAACTACCGAGGTGTGGGATGTTTTTGCAGAGATGAATAGCTAGCCAGGTCTAGTCGGATACCATTAAATCTAAGAATATAGCTCATGTGATTATTAATACTAATATAAATGAAAGTTTAACAAAAATGGTTCATATTTTGAACAGAATGAGAATAAATTACTGACCTAGGTATTAGTCTGATGTCTGGAATCCTTTCTTAGCATGGCAATAATTTTCAATTCATATGTTAAAAATAGATTATCACATTTTTTGTTAACAAAGGAGTTGAACAGGAGGAGTGATTTACCATCTGGGTGAGTGTTTCTAAGAGCAGAAACTAAACTAATTTAGAATCTTACATCACATGTCAAAAACCAACTATATCAAGTTATCCTAAGAAGAAAAGAGAGTAAAATTTGCAATCTGAACCAGACACACACACACACACACACACACACACTGACCAGTAACTAGCAAAGCCACACGCAAGCACACAGCTATGGTATAAATAATGATGAATAACAAAAAGAAACAGATTTACACCTAGTCATTGCCTCCTCCCCGTTCCACCCCCGGCAACAATAAAATGTCCAGGGCCAGTTACTGTTCCCTGAATAAAAAGCATTCAGCATAACCCATCTTTCTTCCGCAAGCAATGGTTACACTGGCTGATTCAACTTGGCCGATTCTCTCCCACTCTGGCATTAAGCACCAACTCTCTCCAGAGGCCTGAAAGTTCTTTTCAGCTTCTTTGTACTTAAAGTGCTCTAAATAGCTTTAAAGAATCTCTCTTTAAAAAAAAAAAAAAGCTTCTGTGTTAAAGCCTTAGGTATTTTCAAGAAAGTGGTTTTGTTAGTGCAGGGTCTGCTGGGAACACCTGTGAATGTCGAGTTTAATTGGGCTGCAGCTGGTGTCGATTGTGTGTGCAGTAACTGGCAGACACTGGCTGGCTGTACATTGTGTTTCATTTTCCTTTTTCCTTCCTTTTTAACTTGCTCCTCCACCCCACCAGTTAAAGTTGTAAGGGATTGTGTGTAAGGGGGATTAGGAGCCTGGAAGCAGAATAGTACCCTGCGGTTCGTGAATAGTGCAAACTGTGGTGCTTCCTGGATGAGAACTACCTGCAAGACACTGTGCTCATGTGGTGCATGCCTGCTAGGCAGTGCAAAAGGAAGATTATGTATAGGTTTAGGGAGTTAGCTTTCCCGCTCTGTTAAGGACAGATAAAAGGTTCATACATGGCATTTTAAAAAGCCATGAATAACTCCCGGCTGTTTCTCACTCAGGCAAATTCCTACCAATGTCAGATGCTCTCTCTTATCCTTGAAGCAGAAGCAGCTCTACTGAGGGCAACAGAATTACCCCATGCAAAACTGGGGAAGGTAGACAGCTCTTAGGACCCAGGGCCTTCACCTGGTTTAGAAAAGAGACGGGTGCAGAAGCCTTTCAAAAGTGAGAACAGAAAACAAGTCAGGAGC